ATATAAAAGATATTTAAAAACTCACAAATATTTTTGTAAATATATTTTTATACATATTTTATATTTATTATCTAAATAAAATTATCTATTAACTAACCAGGATCGCATATTAATCCTGGCACTAAATCTCTACAGTCAATTAACTGTACTGAATCTTCAGTCTCACGAAGAAGCCTATGAAGTACCGCTTCATTTTCAATAGGATTTAGTGAACACGTGGAATAAACCATCCTCCCCCCAACTGCTAACAATTCTAAGCCACGTTTTGCTATCCTGTACTGAATTCTATAAAATAGTCGAAATATTTTCTATGTTATTATTTACAAAAAAAAAAATAATTTTTCGATAGATTATGATAATTTATACCCATGGAGATTACTGCCATTAGCTGGACTCCATTTACACCATATATCTGGATTTTTTCGCATGGTACCATCACCACTACATGGAACATCCGCAAGTATCCTATCAAATCTGTATAAAAAAAAAGCTATAAGAATGCTCAATACGTAGATAATTGTTTAAATGTTATAAAGTTTGAATTCTTACTTTAATGTATCTTTTGTACCATCTGGTTTTGTAATCATAAAATTTGGCATAATTGACGAATCATGGTTTGTAATAAGAATGTTTGGGCTATTTAGCCTCTTAGCTTGATGAACCAGCATATAACATCGATTGTTGTCAACATCATTAGCTATTACAAAACCCTCTAGAGCAAAATTTAAATATTAATGTTTACATTATTCTCATTTTTTATCGTGCAAATTAGTATTAGTTACCTGGAGGATTTTCCTCATCTGCATGTATCATTTCTATAAGTTGTGCTGTTTTCGATCCTGGCGCTGCACACATATCAAGAACTTTATGCGAAGATTTAACATCTAGGACCAAAGGAGGAACCATACTAACTACTTCCTGCCTGCTGATACTGCCATTGTTAGTTTCAGCAATAAGGAAATTATGCAACCTAAAGTATGCCTCAGATCGTCGGATGTCTTTTCTAGTTAATTGCAGTTGCCAAGCTAATTCCTCTGGATAAAAGGGTAAACTATGTAATATAGTTTTTGCTCGACTATTAACATCTTCTTTATCACCATCCAAATCTGCATTCAAAATCTCTTTGAAAAAATCACTTTTGATTATTTCCAATAAGGCTTTAGCTTCAGCTTTTGAACCAGTAATACGAAAAGCAACTGGCAGATTAGTCCTTATAGTGCTGATAAATGCATCCCATTTATCTTCTGGTACTATTCCTTGCGTCTTGTAATAATTCTCAAAATCTTTGTTTTCCCGAATAATATCTGCATAGCTTCCTGACTGAGAAGTACTATTCCATTCATTTTTCTACAATTATCAATTACATATCAACACGCTTTTCAAATTCACTATCATCATTATATTAAATTAGATAAAATAAATAAAACATGTTTTAAAAAACCACAAATGTATACAAACTCATGTTAAAATGTTATATTAAAACATATAACCTATATACATTTTATTTTCAATATTAATGAATAACTATACCTTCTGCTTCTCACGGCGTTTTTCAGCGAAGTTCTTTTTTGGCCTATGTTTTCGACCTTTACCCATTGCTTCGTTAAAATATATGTTTTTGATCAATTAAACACTAATAATCATTAATAATCGCGCATAATACGATCAACTCACACCGTATACACAGTATACACAGACACGTGCTGTTGCTGACTGCTGATAGTGCTAATGTCACTGATGTGCACAGTGCGCACTCAGTGCACTACGTACACATGCAGGGTCGTCGCTAACATATAAGGCGCCTTTGTCCGAAAATTCACTTTTACATAAAAATGAAAATAAGAGATGCAACTTCCAATGATCTTAATTTTGACAAATGTTATCCAGATGATAATCCTGAACAACATTTTAGTTAGTCAGATACCTTAGGTAATGCTTTCTCTCTAATTTTTGTTGGTAATATATGGTAATATGTATTATGTATAATAAATCTTTATTAAAACAAGTATACATACAATTCTATTAATTCCAATATGTATGTTCAAGACATCGTTGACAAAACATCTCATGTAGGCAATTTATATAATTTAAACATTTATTCAATTAAGAAATAATCTCATAACTATTGATCTACGAGTTGCAACAACAATTACAATAAACTGATCCCGAATTAAGTTATTCATTTTTTTATTTGTAATTAATACTCCTGTTTGCTGTAAAGATATAGAATGAAAATTAAGTTAATCGGAATCAATGTTAAGGAGATCCTAAAGTTTGCATTACCGATTAAATTATATCATTTTTGTATAACAATGATTTTTTTCCTCTTCTTCAAATTCGGAAAATTCTTATCAAAGATTAAAGTATTCGCATTAATATGCATCTGTGATGTGGAATTTATGCTGAGAACGACAAAGTTTCGAAATTGAGATCTTTACCATTTCTTAGTCCAATATGGCGCTACAGAGCTGTCGTGATGTTTGCTTCATATAAAAGCTGTGCAATCTTGCGAAATATAGTTTATAGACTTACACTTACACTACGACTAATCGTCTTTAAGATTCCCTTAACTGTTGTTGGTGCAATCGAACTGCAATATATTGTCTATATTATAGAAATACTTTATGTACAAAATTACAATGCCGATTCCGCATTGTTAAAGGATGAGACCTTGGTAAGAAAGTCCATCGGAATCTGGCGATTCCATCCTATTTCTTAAATGTTCTAACGTATTTGCTAAATGTTTCTGTATTTGATCGGTTTCTTCGCTCGCTTCCAGATTGGGAAGTTCCTCTCTAATTTTAGCAATCACTTGATTTAATATTTGCACCGTTACCTAAAAAAAATTTAATTTCAGAATAACTTAAAATAAAACTATAATAAACTATTTTATGTTTGTAGATATCTTACAGCTGTGTTTCCTTTTTCGTAGAAGTAAATGTAATGATTCAGCAGCTCCACGTACAGTTGTACTTGCACAGAAGTGTCCATGCACTGACTTGCTATCCTAATACCTTTTTTTAAGCAGTCCAACACTTTGCCGCCTTCTTGCATCTATATGAAAATTTTATTATACTTCTCATATAGTGTACTTTATTTCTATGTTTATTTCAATAGATCAAAGTTAGATTTGTATGTACCTCTTTTCCGCCTGTAGCCAAAGATTTTCCAGACCAAAATATATGTGAACAAGTAGCGACTCCTCTACACTGATCAGGCTTTCTCAATAATTTGCTAGCATATAAAGCGCACTGATTGCGTACAGGCTCTGCGTTTTCTTCGCCAAAACAACTCATTTGCTCGAATGTAGCAATGATCAAGGTAATAGCTGCGAGCTGAGCTTTCGAATCACTTATTTCATCTTCATATATCGAAAATGCTTGGCTCATGAATTCATAAGCAACCATTTCGAAATTATCAAAACGAATTTCACCGATCGCTATTGCACCTTGTAGAAATAGTCTTAAGGGTAGTTCGGCTAATTCAGCCTTCATCAATGCTGTGATAGTCGTGTGACAGAACTGAAAAATTTTTTGACACTTTTTTTGCCACATGTCATCCTAAAAAAAAGGGAACATCAATTTATATTGGTATTCAATATTCTTATTTCACTAATGTCCGGTTCTATTAAAGTAAATTTTTAATTTTGGTTTACATTACTGTTTATTTTTTTTTAGTTTTCAGATTAGAATTAAAAAAAAAAAAGAATATAAATTAAACAGATTGAAATTAATCTTTGTTGATAGAAGCAGACATAAAGATCGTTCTACAATGCATCGGAATATTCCTCGACAGCCAATCAGAAACATCAATATTTACTATTGACGCTTCTGATTGGCTGTCACGAAGCATTGCTATTAGAGACGAGATTGCGACGCATTGTAGAATGCTCTTAAGAGCATTAAGAGGTACAAACCTGATCTTTCAGTGCTTTGTATGTAAATGCTAATTGATAACTTTGGAAAACTATGGGAGGTAGAGTGAATTTTATTCTTTTGTTACCGCCAGCACTGAAATGTTTCCTTGCAGCGCTTAGTATCATATATTGCTGATCTGGTGTTTCCGATCTAAAATGATGTATTAATCTTCCGAGCAATCCCTGTTCTTCGGCAAAATCTTCAGGATCTTCTTCTATATTAGGTTGATCTGATTGATCTTGCACCAAGGAAGATACCATGAAGAGCACTGCGTCTACTTGCTCTTGCATTGGAATCAACGTTTCATTCTCCAAAATATTCGTTATTATATATATAGCTAGTGATTTTCTGCCTTCATAATCGAAATAATCCAAAAGAGGCGCATAGTGTTCAAGCTTAAGCACTGTTAATATATTTTTATAATTGTCTACGGGAATTTTCATTAATCTAACTAGTTCTCTTGAAACAGCACTATTGTACTCCAATCTAAAAAAGAAAAATAGAAATTATAAACATACAATAAACGCACGTACGCATATATACATTTATATGATACAAAATACTATTTAACATGCGTAACAAATTACACTCACTTATCGACGTTTTGTTTCTGAAATATTTGAACTGTTGTAAACAAAACTTTATCTACATAATCCACACGATCGGGATAGCATTTATGTGCTAAGTTTATAAGAGCCACTTGGAGGGACACAATATCTTCAGGAGGCATATCTTGTCTTGTCTACAAAAGATTTTTTATATAATAATGTAAATTAGTCTTTTTTAATTATAAAGTATAACATAATGTTTTGCGACTATTCTCAGACTTAAACTAAATAGTAAGGAATTTTCTGATTTTCAAATCATGATATATCAAACAGTGTGCAGTATCTAATAATCATCGAATAGTCATTCTAATAAAATCAACAATGAAATCTATTCCATTTAATTGATACCTGTATGATAGTTGCAATTTGATCACTAAATACGTCAAACAGTTTGACGTCTTGTGGAATTCCTGGCACTTGATTTGGACTTCCCGGTCCTCCTACACCATCGGATCGTTGACTGAAGGCTGCAAGTCGATCAATTAATGATATAATTATATTTTTAACATTTACTCCATTTTGCAATTCTGCACACGACTTCAGAAATGCATTTAACGTTTGTAAATGGAATTCATCAGGAAAGACCTAGATACAAATATGTAAAAGACATTAATTTTTTGAATCATTGTTATTTTTAAAATAAAATATTTACGACACATATAAAGATTTACTTGAATTATACACTCCATAAGATATTCCTGTGCTATTGCATCTCTACAACTAACGACTTGCTCCAAGATTCCCGGTAATACAAGCTGAAAATGGATTTGTAGTAAAAAATATTTCATAGTTAAAAAATAAATAAATTATGGTTAAAAATAAAGAGATGAAAGTGTACCTTTTTGTATTTATCCAATGTTACAGATTCCAATTGACTAAGTCGTACAAGATTTGTTCCAACTAGAATCCGAAGCTCTTCCCTTTCCCTCTCTCTTCTTTCTCTGTCCCTACTATGACCTTGATGTTGCATACGTACCCACAATTTATTCATTTCTGCAAAATTCATCAGAACAAAATCTATGCTGTCACGAACCTGAAAATAAAATTGCAGAAGTAAGCAGTGTACATGAAGAAAATTTTGTTTACAAAATACATACAGTTCCATCTTCATCATCACCCTCGGTGACATCTGGCAAGATATTCCTTGTGCATTGTAACAAATAATTCCTTAAGAATAAACCACGCAGTGGATGTTGCACGCCTCTACACATTTCTACAAGGTCTCTCAGAAGATCTCTTTTCAAACCAGGCGTTGTCTTGATATAAACCAGGCCAACAGTGATAAGTAAATACCTATATTAATTAGAACATCACCTTTTTCAGTAAGAAAACAACAATGCAATCACAAAGCAAATACATACAGTCTGGGTACAATATTGCCAACATATTGTACCAATTCATAGAGATCGGTAACTTTTCTTCCTTTTTGAAATTCATCCAACAAGTAAAGTTCCAAGTGTCGTAATTCATCTGTGATTGCCATATCTAATCATAATTGTTATAAGGAATATTTACAATTAAATGTCAAAATCAACTACTTATATTACAGTTCAAGCTGTATTATTAAATAATTATTAAGGATACATAATTCATAATAGCTTTTTGGACTTAGAAGGGAAGTCCTAAGTTCTCCCAACATGGTAGAGGCATGTTTTAGCGCATCCATTAGTTTGGATTTGTCCAGACAGTGTTTCATCTGAAAAGCTTGGACTTTTACCACTCCAATTGCATCTTCTAGCAATTTCTCCTGTTCCTCCATTCCCGTTATAGCAGGTGTCATTGGCTGCGAGAAAAACAAAGATACCTACCAGGAACACCAGGTAGTACCATGCTAGGTAAGCCATCCAACACAAGCATGCACTACGGATGCAATGAAAATACATTGTCGAAAGGAGACTCAATCTATCCATAAAATTAAGCACTGACAATTAAAAACGACTTTTTAAACATAATGCCACATGATACATATATTTGTTCTGCGACTAATTCTAGTATAGAAATCTGTTTATTAAATCATTAAAACTTGATGATTTCTTAAGAAATAATTATTTTAATCGGGGGACAAACACTG